TGACTTCCGTTTACGATGTGATATTAAGGGTTAGTTTTAAGGTGTCATTTCCCCTTCTGTATGTTCTTGAGGTTTGTCAAAGCCGGATGAGATTGTGTTACAAAAGGTAATATTTTCATGTGTGCGCGCTATCCTTTTTTTTTAAGTATCAGTCTCTCCCGCAGAATATAACTCCAGAGATACTTTTTTCAAAACCTTATTCTAGGTATTCTCTATTCTTTAAGCATATTTGAAACTCTGTACGTTTTTATTAAACGTTGAGCGTGACGAATTTGGTCTTAGGAGGTGTAAGGCTTCTCCTTTCGCGAATCCCGTATAGTTCGTGTATTAGAGGGTCGCTGCCTCTTTGGAATGCGTTTGCATGTCAATTCGACGATTCCCCGTTAAATAACTCGCGAATCTGATATTATTTAAACAGCCATCGGCTGTGTGTGAAACTGCTGCCAAATGAATAGTGGACCGTTGGATAATTGACACAAAACGCCGGGAAACCATCAATCGTATAATCAACAATTTTATTTGAAGGAATTATTCGATTTGAAACATAAAATTAAGCAATGTAATTATGAAACATTCGGGTATTTACAACACCGATTATAAAAGTGGATAATAAACCGACAGTACAACCTAAACTAATTGAAACTTATTTCTGTCGCCGGTTTCCCGTTAACTTGATCATTCGGTGTAACTTCTATAAAACTGGTTAGCAAACACGTGTAAGAATTTAACTGAACTGAAACTTTATTAACTTGATATATGAAACGATTAAAAGTGTCAATTACATTGTTTGTGATCATTGTCAATCATTAATAATATTTTGTCACCGTAACAAATAGATTCTCGGGCAAGACTGCAGTTTCGATTCTTTCTGAATCTGAATTGCCTCCTAACAACGAATTTGTCACAGGGGAATAACAGGAGTCGCACAGGCCCGCAAACACTTATAACTTTCGAAGGAACGGCAACAGACAGTGAATTTCCATTAAATTCCACGTTTATTCACGCTACCAGAGATGTTCACTTGACCACGACAGGATGCAAATGACTTATTTTTCGTTTTACGACCATGATGCAACG